ACAAATAATAATAACATTAAAATGTGCTTTGTTATAGACATAGTAATTCCTTCAGACTCTGATGTATCTTTGAGGATCTTCAGGAACTATGAAAATGCAAGAACCTCGCAATCGAAATCTAAAAAATGTGGCACATAAGAGCAACAATTCCAGTTGTATTTGGAGCACTTGGATTTATTGAAAAAGATTCAAATAGACCCATTGAAGGGATTCCTGGTAATCTATGTCTCAAAGAAATATAAAAAATTGTTCTCACAAGTACATCCCACACCTTACGAAGTGCTTTATCTCTGGAACTATCCTCAGGGACATGCCAATTTAAACTGACAGGAAAACCAACAAACCTGATATTATCATGAAAAACAATAAATTTAGGGAGTGTATGCTTATTGGTATAGCAGTATATACGCAGGGCTTCATCTATTTAAAATATGTGTGATTTTTTTTTCAAGTATGCTCAGTGGAAAATGTCATGATGCCATTTCTAACTTTATGCCTCTGGTCGGGACTGGAAGAAAATAGGTATACATCAGAAATTAAAGGAAATAATAATAATAATAATAATAATAATAATAATAATAATAATGGCAAGAAAAAACAAATTGAAGAAGAACATCGTAGACAATCATAACTTTTTTTTTTTTTTATTATTAGTCAATATCTAATGACTTATTTACCAGAAAATTACAATAGGAAAAGCTTGAAATTTTCATGGGAATTTCGATTAAGTATTTGTTATACTAGAACATACCTATTCTATTGTAAATAGACTCTCCCACAGATAATAAGTAGTAGTAGCAGTCGCCATTAGGCTCAGTGAGTTGAGTGAGTCAGTCGATGTCGGACATTAAAGTATCAACCACCACAACTAGATTGCTGCGTCATTAACTATTATTTCAAGTTCCTAACGTTTTGTACGTCGAACCTTTTAGGACCGAATTAGTGAAATACAAGCCTCCACTGTGAAAACTACTCTACAACAGTATCAAACAAGCAATAACTCATAATGAACATTTTAAATCCAGGCATTTCTGTTCCTTCGACCACGAAAGGTAAAATATTTCTGTATATCTTCCTATTTACCCATAACTAGGAGATGTATTCATGCCTTTTCCAAAGGTATTAGTGTGAAAAAGATAGATTCGATTAGAATTTGAATTTGACCCGACAAATTCCATTTTTCGATCTATCAACACATTGTTCAAGCCTTTGGACTAAATTTACTGATTTTATATTATAAAAAGATTGCATTTTGAATGCTAGTAGGAGAAAGTTGAACAGTGACTGAAGCCGAGAGGCCAGGTCAGGACCGGCAACATTGTAGATTCTTTGGATTTTATCAATAATCTCATGATCCATGGCAGAATATAAGGATTCACATTGCAATCTGCAAGTGTTAGCATCGAACTTACTGTTACATCAAAGCATTTCGACTGCAAGTTAATGAGACTTTAACACGAACTTCGTGCTGTGCTTAAATTCGTAACGTCTAGGAACTGAAGACAAAATCCTGTCAGAAAAATTTCCTTGAAATTATTTATAGAAAAGGCAGAGGGAAGCTACATTACGGTGGCGGGAAAGTGACTGAACTCAATTAGAATCTGAATTCGGCTCAACAAATTCTATTTTTCGAGATGATAAAGTTACGCTATCAATACCCAACCAACATTTGGCCTAAATTATTCCTTTTATAAAAAATCCGTTCTTCCCGTTGCAGTAGATTATGAAGTACCGTAATATATCCTATTTTTTTAAAAATTTCAGTTGTACATTTTTCAGATCGATACATTCCCTCGAGTAGCCATGATATTGTGGGGGAAGAGAGTTGTAGTCAGCATCTTAAGATAGATTTCTAACCAAGACAAATAAGATAATAGAATCTATTTAGTCTTGGTTAAAATCTATGAGGACCCATATCAGAGCAATCATCGTCAATTATCAAATAGTTTCGTTTTCTTAATTTCATTCACACTGATCATCATCGAACCCGATTTTCAGGAATTTCCCAACGGTGACACCAGGTGACATCTTTTCCTTTGGTCATTAGTATACGTTTGTTTCATCTGAATTTCTTTTTTAATCTAGTCGAATTAATTTAGATTCTTTTTCTTTCCATCTCTTTTATTAGTAGAATTCCCAAACTGTGATAACAGAACTTCTGCCAGGAATGGTAAAATTTAAGAGCCACGGCGCAAATTTACTGTAGATGATCTTGTGACCAAGGTACTCTCTAGACATTTTCGTCGTAGTCAATTTTTCTTTTGTGTCCATACAATCTTACATATATATATATATATATATATATATATATATATATATATATATATATATATAAGCAAATATATGGATATAGATCCGACAGTATGAAGAAAAATATACGGAAAAAACAAACAAAAATCCTTATATTAAAAAACATCATAATTGAATATAAGGATTTTTTTGTTTTTTCCGTGTATTTCTTCATATATATATATATATATATATATATATATATATATAT